ACCCTGCCTCATTCCGTCCCGCCCTGTTCCATCTCGCTCCACCTCGTCCCAGCCCATCCAACCCTGCTCATCCCGGTCCCTCCCCGTCCCACTCCGTTATTCCGTGTTGTAGTGGCATTTGTTAAAATATTCACAATAACGTATCCATTGATAATGAAAAATGCCACAGTTTTGTGACATTGACAAAGTATTTAATGTGTATTAAGGTGTTAATTCTGAATAATATTATAATTTTACTTTGAAATCAAACATATTAAATTTTTAGTTGCTTTCATTTTCCCAAAGGTTCTGAGTTGTCCCTCCCTGACAAAAAAACTTTCGTTAATAAAGTCATAAAAATGCACTTGTCTGCGTTTCAGATGTTAACAATTGCACATTTTTAGGCCCGTAACATACTTCAAACTTTTTATAGAAAATGCTGCATGTTTTCAAAGTATTACTAAATCTCTGTAATAAATCTGTAACTCAAATATTTTCGAAAAAGACGCCATATAGAAAGCGTGGAAACTTCAGAATGTTAATAAATTATTTGGAAAAAAATACTCTTTTTTTAAAAGGTCAGAAAAGTTTAACAAATCAACGAGAATGGCATATGTTAAAATATTCCTTAAAATTTAATTTACAGTACTATTTTGGGGGGAATACATCTCTGTGGTGGAACAAACGAAAATAAATATTTCTACAACTGAATATTGTCATATTACTTTTTGTCTTTTCACGACAAATTAGGTCCTTTCAAAATTTTACCCTGCAAAAGTTGTATAATTTATTTTTTCTATGTCACGTAATTCTGATTCATAGAAATAACCTTCTTATTTTCAAAAGCATTAAAAAATACAAAACATTTTAGATAAATTTAACAAAAGTTAAATTTCGACGAGCCGATGAATATCAAGAGACAAGATTCTCTCTCGATTCTTAAAAATGTCTTATTTAAAAAAACTAAGTTCACAAGTCAAAATTTTAATCCTTGAAAAGTTTACTAAAATTATTGTTTATTGTTTAGTAATTAAAGTGAATTTTATTGTATCGCAATAGACTTGAAAATTGAGGTGCTATAACTCCCGAACGTCGTCGTCCCGAACGAAACGTCGTTTCAAGATTATCAAATTGTTTTTTTACGCACCACGAGCGCTATTAGGGTACATAAAGATCATACTTTTTACTTAAATTTAATAATTCAGATTCAGTTATTAACTAATTTACTAGAGGTTGACATGATTTGGTTTGCCTTTTCACATATCCCTCACATTATTCCCTTTCGTAATTCCCCCCATAAGAGAACATGTAGCATCATTCAACTGTTTTCAAATTTCCCTCGTAACCACTATCTTCACGATTCAGATACGTTAGGCAGATAAATAATGGAGCGAAAATAAAAAAAAACAATATCGCAGTAGTAAAAGATAAAATGTTTTTAAAGTTAACTATTACTTTATAAATAGTTGTGGTGATAATGTTTTCCAATTACAATTATCAATAATC